TTCAGTCTTGTTAAAAAGATGGAACAGATTTACAACTTTCATCTAACAATTCATTCTCAAAAAGTTGATGATATGCAGTGGGGTCATAGTACCTTTTCTGTGACTACCATCACAAGCTGATTCAATGCTTAGACTTTCTATGACTTGGGATGTATTAGTAGCAGCATTTGGAACACATGATGTGGATATATCACAGCAGCTTCAAAGCTGTTCTAGATAAGTGTGACACAGGAGACTATTGAAGTGAATGCCACACAGTAGGGAATTTCCACCCAGTTCATTACAAATTTCACAGTTTGAGGGCATCACAACAGAATCAATAGTGATGGGGAAATAAGAAGCTCCTCACTTAGACATGGGACTAGAAAACAGTATTTCATGCTAATTGAATTAAATCTTATAAAATCTAACTTGAGTCTGCTTTCGCATCAAACTTTCAGACTTTTTATTTGTAAAAGTATTTTTCAGAAAATGTGCAGTTGCTAGTAATTCTTTTTTTTTTTTCAAGCCAGAAGCAAAGGATATGGCTCTTTTAAGTACCTCTTGATTCCCTGCAGGAACCATAATCAATTCATGCTGTATCTACCGTTTCTTTCATACTGTTACACAGGCAAAATTCTAGACAATATATATCTGCTTTAGAATCATTGCCCCTTATGTGGGCACCACATGAAAGCTGTGGCTTCCCATACTGGCAGCCTCTGAGATTCACATTGTTTGTATGGATTAATTCACTACACAAATCAGTTCTTTTTCCTATACCATCATCTCTCTCCCCCACCCTCTCTCTCAGGGCCAGCGCAATGTGTAACATGTTCACACTGGTGCAATAGGACTGGGTGTTTTGTTAATGTGATTTATTGGGTTAGGGATTTTCTGTCTTCACTGTGAGTTGTATTGTGGTGATGGGGGGGGTTGCACTGAGGGAGCTCAACCAATCTCATTGCACATATGTTGTGCACTGACAATAAAGATTTGAATTTGATTCACACACACACTTTCCAATAGACAAAGATTTTCAATATCAGAGAGAAAATCATTTGATTTCTGAAAGCCAATTCCCATAAAAGCTTTAAAATAGCTTCTATACAACGGTATATGTTATACATGGCCTTAAAGATGAAGATAGATCAGAATGAAACAATTGCTGGTTTATTTCATTTGCTATGATTAAAAATAGTAGTGATTCCTTGTCATTTTGGAAAGAAAACACTCAGGTCAATATAGTAAGTTTTTAAAATGTTATGCTTTGTTTTGAAATACTGAACTTCCAATCGTTGCTACATTTCTTTGTGATAAAGATAAACTCTTCTCTAATGATCTGGTGAAAAATTAGGTGACCTGGAGGCCAATTTGAATGAAACAAGGTAAACAGAAAAAGCAGAAATTCTAAGTGGTTTTGAAGCAATTCACAAATTCCACTGAACGTTAGTAGAAACAAAAGCAGGGAAAATGGTTTCCAAAGTAAAGGCAACATGTTTATTGTTTAAACGGTCTGGCAAAAAACAATTTGCAGTATAATCAAAAATTTTAATAAACATTTCTTCATCTGTAATCCTCTTCACAAAGGACTTAATCCAATCTTATTGGTGACAGTTGGGTCACCAATAGACATTTTTTCCCAGGCACTTTGAATCCATCTCTTCTGTTTTGCATATCAGTGTATATCTTCTCCACATAGTCTGAGTAAGAATAGATGGATCAGTCTATTTTCAAACTCTTATCATTTTCGTTTGCATCCAACCTTGTCTGTTCTATCCTTTTAATGAATTGTTATAAGTATTTTTTATTAAATATTGTTTATTGCTTTATATCACATATTCCATTTCTATGTTGAACAGTGTGTTTTCTAGGTGTCCAAAGTGTTGTACGTATTATTAAACCATACACAAAATTAAATAAAAGTGTGTATCTCATTACTACACTAAATCAATAATGACTTAGTGAAACATAATCATTTTATCACTTATTCATAATTATATTTTTTCCTCAAAATATATATTATATATTTTTCTCAAAAATGCATTTCTGATTAATCTTGATAACTTCCTATACAACTTTGAAAATTTTGTTGAAACATTTGGCCAGCAAAGCAGTACTAGTAACTAAAACTGTTGCTTTTCTTCTTTACATTATTTGTAAACCATCACAATCTCAGGACTCTGGGTGGCACACATCAGGGTAAAACAAATCAAAGATACACAAATAACAAAATAATAATAAAAATGCAACAAAATTATTTGAATGGAGGAACCCAAAGGTCCAATCATTAATATCTAAAAAACTGTAGAAAAAGGACAACTTTTTGATTTTTCTAAATTCAAGAATGCAAGGCACCTTTTGAACCCTCAACCTGATATACTGGGATTCATTCAAGTCCCATGAGCCTCACAAGAGGGGACTCCCATAAAGTCTTCTTGAGTTAGACCACAGAATTAATTGCAGCAAAACAGTGCCTAATGTAACATATAGCTGTGCCATAAAGAGCTTTATAGGAAACTAGGGAATTTATGACCTATTGGGTCATTGTTTCAGAGATATTACCTTACCTAAGCAGAAAAACAGAATGATTACAGGCAAACAAAAATAAGTGGGACTGGGAGGCAACTTCTGAATTCATATTGGCTTCCCCATTGAATTCCTTCTCTCCCTTGTTCCATCCTTCTATCCATCTATCTATCTATCCATCCATCCATCCATCCATCCATCCATCCATCCATCCATCCATCCATCCATCCACATTTATAGGAAGGCAGGACTTCTCAGATAACTATTGCTAGATCTGTATGAATACACAATTGACTTCAAGTCCTCCATAGGCTTGGCAGGTAGTTGGATGATTTTGGGCCAGCCATTTTCTCAGTGCAACCACCTCACAGTACTGTGGGGAAAAGAAAATGGAGCACTATGATTAGGGGACTAGAAGTTAAAACATGTGAAGAACGAATGCAGGAATTGGGTATATCTAGTTTAATGAAAAGAAGGACTAGAGGTTCCAATATCCAAGGGTTGCCATAAAGAAGAGAGGGTCAACCTATTCTCCAAAGCACCTGAAGAAAGGATAAGAAACAATGGATGGAAACTAATCAAGAAAAAAAGCAACCTAGAAATAAGAAGATATCTCCTAACAGTGAGAACAATTAATCAGTGGAACAGCTTACCTCCAGAAAAACTGGAGGGTTTTAAGAGGAGATTGGACAACCATTTGTCTAAAATGGTATAGGGTAGTGATGGCTAACCTTTAGTCCTTGCCTGCCGAAAGTGCTCGCGCGCACATGACAGTGTGCCACACCCATAATACAATACATTCATGACACTCCCCCTACACATGCATGTGACAACCCCGCACCCCGTTTTGGGCTTAGCAGGCCCCTGATGCCTCCTGACACCAAAAAAGGGGGTGGGGGTCACGGGGGGGCGTTGCACCCTCCTGCCCCCCCACATGCTTACGCTGTTACAGGTGTTATGTCTGCCTTGTATGCAGCTTTATTCCTCTCTAGCATTCATCTCCATTGTTCAGTGATGCATTTCCTGCCTCTCTAGGATTTACCTCTATCTGCTCCTGTGAGGCACTTCCTGTTCCTGCTGGATGTATATACAGCTCAGCTGGGGCGAGGGCTCACCTACCATAGGTTTGCCATCACAGGTATAGGGTCTCCTGCTTACGCAAGAGTTGGGCTAGAAAAACTTCGTCCCTTCCAACCCTATTATTCTATATTCTATGCTTTTGGTAGGAAGAGTTCTACTTCACAAGCCTCCCTTCCAACTCTGTTATTCTGTTCTGTGGAAGTAAAGTTGTTGAAATCACTTGAAATATAAACAAAATACTTCAATCCTTCTATATATTGCTAAAAAGGAAACCAAAATTACAAAACAGTCGCCAATGCCAGTTATCTTGTCCTTTCTTCACTAATTAGCAAAATTATTTTGAATATGCGTACTTCTATACCAAATCCACAACTCTGAATAAGATGGCATAAAAATAATACATACAAAAATGTTTTTTTCTACTCTTGCCCAAGATGTGTGTTCAGTATGTATGTGGAAGTAGTTGTTGAAATCACTTGAATATAAACAAAATACTTCAATCCTTCTATATATTGCTAAAAAGGAAACAAAATTACAAAACAGTCGCCAATGCCAGTTATCTTGTCCTTTCTTCACTAATTAACAAAATTATTTTGAATATGTATACTTCTATACCAAATCCACAACTCAATGCACAAAAAAAAAAAAAGCAATAATATGCACCATATTTAAAAGCATCTGACCGTTATGGTATTCCCAAGTATGAAATTAACATTATATAAATTACCGTATTTTTCAGAGTATAAGACACCCTTTTTTCCCTCCTAAAAGGGGCTGAAAATTTGAATGCATCTTCTACTCTGAATGTAGCTTTTTCCAAGCTTTTTTTCAGCCCTAAGGAGGCGCTAGCAGTGAAGCGCTTTGCCTGCTGCCTCTGACTCTCAGCTGTGAAGTTTTTTTCAGTCCTAACGAGGTACTAGCAAGTGAAGCGATCTCTGTGGTTTGCCTGCTTTTCTCATTGCTTCTCTCTCCAACAATCAGTTGCATTTTAGAAGCTGTTTTTTATCCCCAAGCAGGGGATAAAAACCAGCAAACTAATGTGCTGAAGCTGACCAGACAAAGGATGCTAGCCAGATGAATACCTGGTAGACAGATTCCCCCCCCCCTATTTTCCTCCCCAAAAACTAAGCTGTGTCTTATACTCCGGTGTGTCTTATACTCTGAAAAATACAGTAGTCTTTGAAAATCTTAGCCCATTCAATAGCCTCATTAGAGGTTTTCCTCCTAGGTGTATATTTTATACTGATAATGTATTGACAGTGATTTAAGACATGCACTACTGAGGCAACCCTGATATTCCTCATTTCCAAGATTACTAAAGAAATGACCAGATTTTAAGTATGTAAGAGCAAATGTCTTTAGAACAGGAGAGGTAAATATCAGAAGATTTAGCCTATCAGGCAGTGAATTACCTTTGATAGGTCTCCAGCTTCCAAGTAGAAGCAGATAACAAATATGTTCCATGTAACCCAGAGGATTAGCCAGACAGCATACTGTAGAGAAGGAAAAGAAAATAATGCATTATTATTTTTTAATATCGTTTAGGCTGAAATGATTCTGAAACAACAAAAATGAAAATGCTGACACAGGCATGCATACACAGCATGCAATCATTTTGTTACGTGAAAGAGGTTTACTTAGCTTCCCAAATAAAGACAAAATGAGCAGCACCTTTCATTTCACATTTACTCCATATAGTAATATGATAAGAGTGCTAGTCCTCACTGAATGGCAATTTATTCAGCAACCATTCAAACATACAGCAGTGTTATACAACTTGTACTTATGCCTGGTCCCTGAAGTTATGGCCACAATAATGCTCCCATGGTCACGTGATAAAAATATGGGCACTTGGCAGCCCATTGACACAACTGCAGGGGCACTTCAACTCCCGCCCCTTGCATATCTTCCCCCATCTCTGCTCATTTGGCCACTCTGTACAGTGGCACCCCTGGGGGGGGATGGGCAGTGGTGGTACTGGGGTTAATTGCCCCTTTCCCTGAGCCTCTATTTCAACTCCAGCACTGCTGATGCCACCACCACCATGAAGAGGGTCGCCTCAAGTCCCATACTGTGGCCAACCAACCCAATGCCACATTGCAAAGCACTAGCCTCCCTGTCATCCATAGGTCGTGCTCTCCCCACCAAACCTTCACCTCTTCATCCTCCTGTTGCTAACTAGGCATCCAGCCTGATCTTATGCAAGACTATGCTGGCTGCACCAGACCTACTTCCTAAGGACAATCATGTTTTTCCGAACAACCTGCTGTCTTCTCACAATCCTTAAGAGATTGCTGAAGGCCCTGGGCTTCTACTTCAGCCTCAGCACCACATCTATCTCATTGTATTTGTTTATCTGACTTATTCATTTAATTCAATATAAGCACTGCTTGACTCGAACTATTTCTGGCCAGCAGTTCACAATATAAAGCTTAATGAAAACTTTCTACAAAACAAGAGGAGTTATATGCACCAGGGTGGATAAAAATCAATGATTTTTTTTTAAAAAAATAAAAAAATCAGATTTTTTTAATTTAAATCGGATTTTTTAAATTTAAATCGGATTTTTTTTATTTTTATCTAATTTATTTTAATAAAAAACTTTTGGGGTAAAAATCTATCGTAAGATAGTTTTCTATTTAAGATACATAAATAATTTAGTTTATTCAGCATGAAATGGAGCTCAGTTATGTAGCACGAGGCTGTATATTCTGCAACACTGGGACTATCGGTGAGTCAACAGTGGGTCAAAGGAGTAGCAGAGATGACAGTTGCTCTTTAAAAATTATGATTTAAATCGAGTTGATTTAAATCAAGCCTTTTTACTAGTGATTTAAATTGTGATTTAAATCAACTCGATTTAAAGCAAATCCACCCTTATATGCACTCTATGCAACATAACCAAAAAAAATCAAAAACACAAACAAGGGATCCTATCCATTGGCTCAAGGCCTGGGAGAACAATCAAATCAACAACCCTGTCCTCAAGGCTGGAAAGCCCGCAGGATGGGAGCCACATGGATTTCAGGGCAGCAACACAACAGAGAAAGCATGCTTTGAGGGTCCCACTAGATAGTCCTATTTAATCAAAGGGATTCCAAGTGCTCCCATTTGTCAATACATACTGGCTGGGCAGAAGCTATGGGCGATACATGATTCTTAAGATAACCTGGCCCTATGCCATTACCTGCATAGGTAATTGCCAACATCTTGAATCATGCCAAGCTTAGTGGGAACCAGTGCAGCTCATGGAGCAGAAGTGTCATTTTAGTATGCCCATCGCTGCCCATGCCACCATATTCTGGACCAGTTGAAACTTTTGAGTGATTTTCAAGGATAGTCCCATGTAGAGCACATTCCAATAGTCAAGCCTTGAGAAGATGAAGGCATGAGTGATTGTCTGAAAGGACTCCTGGTCCAGGAAGGGGTACATCTGGTGCACTAGATGGAGCTTTACCGAGGTCCCTTAGTCATAACTGGCACCTATTACTCTTTGAACAGCAGCTGTAAATTCAAGACACTCCCAGATTACGTATCACTCTTGCGTTCATACATGTTGTTCCCTCCAAGGGCATAGATAGAAAATCCTCAGTTCCAAGGAACCTCAAGAGCCACAACCACGCAGTGTTGGTAAGACTGATTTGGAGTTAGTCCCTTCCCATTTGGTCTCACACAGTCTACAGGCACTGAGACAGGACCATATTTCAATTGATTAGCTCATAGTCAAGAGAGATATTTTGATATGATCAGTATATTCATGATGCAGAATCCTAAACTGACAGATGAGCTCACCCAGGGACTTCATATTGATGTAAAACAGATGGGGAGAGAGAGTTTAGTTCTGTGGCACCTGACAAAAGAAGGGGGAACTTCCCCTGTATCCAGGCAACACTGACTGGATTTGATCAGGAAGAGAGAGAACCACCACAAAAAGGTGCTCCCAATTTCCAATTCCTGCAGGTGATCCAGAAGGATTCTGTAGTTGACGGTACCAAAAGCTGCTGAGAAACCAAGAAGCACCAAGATGGATACCATTTCTATCCCAGCTCCAGAGTTCATCATCAAGTTCAAGCAACACTACCTCTGTATGAATCCTTGCATGAATCCTGACTGAAATGGGTCTGTATGTCACATGCATATTCATACTCAGTCTAGGTCAATTTTAGTACATTTTGTCAATATGCATAAATTCATAAATTATGCACAAATATGCATAAGTTCAGTTTTACCCCAAAATGCTCACACTTTTCCATGAAACCTCAGATTTGCAAATGAGGGACTAATTTGCAAGCCAAAATGTTATTAGTCACAACTACCACTAGGAACGATAAGCAACGTGCTGATAGTTCTGGTAATTCTTAAAGAATAAATAATAATTTCATGCTAATCTGCCTCAACTCCATGACAATTAAATTAATTATATAAGACCATTATATTACTATCAAAATTGTTTTCAAGCAAATCAAAGCACAACTCTAAAGCTATATGCTCTCATTTTATCATTTCATAAGCCTACTTAGTTGTTTCAACCATGTAAATCAGTGATTCTGTTTTATTTGTTAAGGATAATTATATCTCAATTATCCACAGTGCTTGGCAACCAGCATGTTTTTACAACGATTGCAGTATCCCAGAGTCATGTGATCTTCATTTGCGACCTTTCCAACCAGCTTTTATCAACCAACGTCAATGGAAGAATCCAGATTCACTTAACAACACATCCTATTTGATTGTTGCCTGTATGAGAGGGTGAGACAGGTACTTTGGTCTATATCCTAAACGAATGATCCATTGGGAACCCCATATTAAAACAACTTACCTTATATGTGACCAGAATTTGAAAACAACATTTAATACAGGACACTACTTGAGCAAAATAGTTCGGTTGAGATTGGCATATGTGGGACTGACTGGGGTAGACTGAAGGGGTGACACTGAAATATAATTTTATTATATTTTATTTATCCATATATTAAATTATTATATTTTATTCCAATCTCATTTTAAACTGTATTTTATTGCAGTTTCATTTTAAACTGTACTTTATTCCAATTTCATTTTAAATTGTATTTTATTGGATTTTAGTAATAATTTGTGTTTGGAACTCTGGACTTTGATATGGCCCATGAGCTAATCAATAAAGTAAACTAAGTAACTTAAGAACTACTGTGATTTGCTTAATAACCATGGTAAAAAAAGGTTATAAAATTGGGCACAACCCACTTGACCAATCTGCTTAACCAAGGAAATTCTGGTCTCAATTGTGATTGTAAATTGAGGGCTATCTATTTGGTTAATGCATTTCATTTCATTTCTTGTCTTAGACTGACTAGAAGAAGATGGGAAGTTTTAGTTTGCTTTAGTTTCAAGAATGCAAGCCGGAGTGCGTAAGATGGCCGAGAATGGTTAGTGGTTAGTGTCAGGTGGCAGTTAGAAAAAAAACATTAAAATAGATTAAAAAATCCACTTGCTTAAGTTAAGTCTCTGTTGTAAAAGGAAGAGTGATCTTATCTAGCCTACTCCTTCCAGAGTATTTTAATAAGCATAAACTATAACCAATGAACAAAGGTAATTTTGCCACCTGTGTTAACAGTAATTATTGATTATATTAATGCTGATTAACTGCAATTATAACCTGTCAGAGTTTGTTGCAAAATCAAATCCAGAAAGCACACACAGGTAAACTGATTCAGCAGGATTCATTAACTTCTTTATATACATAATAATACATGAAGTAAATTTACAATACCAACAGCTGATTCTTCCAAGGTGGTAGAAGTTACAGGCAGAGGAGAGAACAATTCTTAGTTTCAGTTCAGAGTTCAGAACAGGCAAGCCCAGACTTGTTTAGTTCTCAGCACAGAATCAGACTCAGAGTTTAAAGCTGCAGAGCTAAGCCACTCCCAGACTTCTTAAGTTTCTGTTTCTAAACAGTCCCCATTGGCTGACCTGTTACCATGTCTATCCAAAGTCCCCACTGGTTGATTTAGTTGCTATGCTTATTCATTGGCTGATCTATTCCAGTCTATGAATATTCATACTTTGACATAATCTAACCAATCAAATTGTAGATTTGTATGTATCAATCCCTGGAGAGGATATATGGTATAACTTCCACCTCCTTCAAGTATTGGCTGTTAGTCTTTGGTACTTTGGCATTGGTCAATACATGAATTTATACTTCAAATTAATTATATCTCGGCTTCCATTTAAATATAACCCTTGGTAGGAAGTGTTCTATTTCACAAACCAACTCCAAATCATAGGTTCTGAGTATGATTTCAACAAATTACAGCTGGGCTTACCTTGTTGACATCTTCAAACAAGCATTAAATCATAATTAATCCAAAAAAGACTACTCTTTTCCTTGTGGCTGCTCTGGAAAATGAGAGATGTTGGTAAAATGTGCTAATATCTCTGCTCCTTGCCTGTCACAATAAATCCATGTCACTAAAACTGACCCATCAAAAATAATGTTACCACAGAAGTGGCA